CCACGCAGCCCCTGGCGCCGCGGCCGTGGGTCAGGTCCGTCCCCTGCTCCCTGCGGGGTGCAGCCACCTCCTCAGGTCGGGGTCGGGGTGTGCATCACCTTTCTGGCCGGTGGCGGGTTCCCGCAGGCCCGGCCGGTGCCGGGGAGCGCGGCAGGACCGTCACGCTGCCGCAGCCCCCGCCTCGCTGCCGCCGCCGTCCTTGAGCATCCCCTGTGAGCTGTCGTGGGCAGAGGGGTGCAGGGCTTGCGGGTGTCCCGGCGCATCGCTGCCTTCAGGGTGGGTTTGCTGCGGTGCCAGCTGAAGGCAGGTGGGGAATTGCTCTGTGTAAGATGGAGGGGCTGGAGCACAAAGCAGGAATTGAGTTTTGCCCCCAGCATGACGCTGCGGCATGGCTGCCCCCTGTTTGGGGTCTGCAGGGGGCACTCGGATGGCCTCAGCCAGCAGGGACCAGGGTGCCAGGGCTCGGTCATGCTCTGAGAGTTTGTGTTTGCCGAGGGGCCGTCGGTGCTGCGGTGCAGCCCGAGTTGAGGCTTTTCTTGCTGTGACAGCTACAGCATACGCATGCCAGTTTTGGGGACCCCTCAGTGTGCCAGCCGTGTGCCTCATAAGAGAGCCAGAGACGCTGCACAGTGGGCAGCTGGCTCCCAGGCCTCACCCCACGGCTTGAGTGCTTTTGGGATGTCATCTGTGACCTTCTGTTTTGCCCTTCCTTGGCATGGGGTTGCTAAGGAGTATCTGGGGTCACCTCCTGCCCTGGTTCAGCCCCTTACCCTGTGCCTGTTTCACCGGGGCTCTCCAGATGCCGGGGCCAGGGCAGCAGGGGTTTCCCATGCGAGGCTGGGAGAGCATTTGGGGTTTGCTCTGCTGGGCCACAAAAGCCAAGCTGAAGAGACCCAGCACCACGTTTGGTCACAGCCATGTGCCTGCAGCATGCAGCTCACCGAAGCCCTGCCTTGCTCCTAGCGCTGCCTGCTACAAGGGTGATGCCAGCCTGGGAGAGGAGCTTTGCTTTGTGCTCTGGGGTGAGGATTTCTGTTCCGGTGAGAAGTCACCCCCAGCACAGGGGCTAGTGGTGGGAGATGCTTGGAGCTGGGCAGCCCAGCAGCATATCCCGGGCACGTGGTCGTAATTAAATCCCTTCCTGGGCAGCAGTGCCTGCAGGGCTCTGTCCCAAAAGCTGCCGTGGGGATGCTGTATCCATCCTGGCTCTGGCCAGTCCTTGATGTCTGGGAAGAGCAGGGTACGTGGGGCTGGTTGGAGGGTGCTGGAGCTGCCTGTGTTGCTCCATCCTGGGGTTTGGGCATCCCAGAGGGGGTGGTGGTGGCTGTTGCTTGTGCTCTGGCACCCTGGTTGGTGGAGGTGCCCAGCAGGTGTCCTCTCCTCTGCCAGGCCACACTGTCCTGTCCCCAGCTCAGCCAGGGTCACAGTGTAACTTGCGTGACACTGAGCAGCTTCACCAGCTGCTGGGGCTCTGATGCTTGCTGGGCTCTTCCTGCACCTCTGTGGCCCTGGTGTTGGGGAATGGGCATCTCCAGCAGGGAGCAGGGCTAGCTGCAGCCCCCCAGTTCTGCTCCCCTCTCCTATGCCACTGCTTGCTGTCCCCAGCCTCTTGCAGCCCCCTCGGAGTCTGCGGGGCCTCACTGACCTACTCAGCTGCTGACCTGAAAGGGGCTGTGCTCATCCTGCTGGAAAATGCTCTGTGCCCGTCTGTGCCGGATCGCCGCGGGCACAGCCTCGTGCTGCAGAGCCGGACGGGCCCGTGGGGTGCGCAGGCAGCTGCCGCCCCGGCACAGCACTGACTGACGGCCCTGGAGATGGGCTTGTGCATGGTCTGCTGAGCCCCTGGCATGGAGCGAGCGCGGGGCCGGCGCCAGCCGCTCTGGCGTAGCGGCGGTGCCCATACCTGCTGTCTGTGCCCACTGTGGGTGCTGGAGAGGGGGGATCAGGGTGCGGCAAGGTGGTGGGTGGGGGCCACCCGAGGAAGGGTGGATGTTGTGGGGCGGTTGGTTTGTTTATGCCAGCCGGTCCCTGCCCTTTCCAGCAATCCTGACCCTCTCAGCGAGGCAGGTCACAGGGGGCTTGGTGCCAACTGTGGTGCTGTCAGCCCTGCTGGCATGGGTGCTGACCTCCCCGTGCTGCGCAGGTACCTTCTGTCCCCAAAAACCCCCACGGGGGCCTTAACAGGGAGACATGGGGTCACTGGGGCTTGTGTGCTGCTGGGGCACGGAGCCTGTGCCAGGCTGGGCTGGAGCCAGCCGCAGACGCTGAGTGCCAGCTCCCTGCCGCGGCCCTGCAGCGGGCGCTACTGGGAGCTGAGGTTTGCACCCTGGCAGCCCCCAGAGCAGGGAAATCCCATGGGTGGCAGGACCCACCAGGCAGAGCTGGGGCTGGGCAGGGGGGTCTGACGCTGTCTCTGCCCTTGCAGCTGGGATGAGAGCAGCTCCATCAGCAGCGGCCTCAGCGATGCCTCTGACAACCTCAGCTCGGAGGAGTTCAATGCCAGCTCCTCGCTCAACTCCCTGCCCTCCCCCCCCACCGCCTCACGCAGGAACTCC